TAACCAGTGGCTTGTTATTTAAGAAAGTTCTAAAATAATAACCAATCACTTTGAAGAATCAAGTCACTGCCTACCCACTGTATAAGGTGCTTTATATAACAATATACCCCTTAGCCTCGTTCCGTGTAATGGCCCAAGTGCCCTGGTTTGCACACTGCCCTTTCGGTGTGTGCACAGCAAAGTTTCACCAATCGCTACTTCGGTGACTCATTGGTTTTACGTCTGTTATTTCTGAACTTTTGACACTGACATCTGTTTTTTTCCCCCAGCAACTCACTTTGAATAGAGTATTGAATTTTCAGTGTGTGGAAGGTATATATGGTTTTATTTTTAAAGGCAAATCTTCAGAGTTAATATTTTATCAGATGAAGCCAATTAAAATGGTTCCCTTCTTTCCTATTTAGTTTATGACACTTTTAGCCGAATTCTATGCATATTGGGAAAATAATGTTTCTTGTTTTCCCTTCACCCTGACTGATAACTCATGAAAGGCCACAATGGAAAACATATTAATCAGGACTTTTTCTAGCAGATGCACTAATGATGACGTTCTCATTCCTTGTTTCTCCCGTTCCATCCCTTAGCCATCGGTGTGCCTCTTGCCCAGTATGTGTTTAGTAATCTCCCCAGCCTATAGCAGCAGCCGTGCATCACAGGACAGAACTGACATAGTATCTTCTCCCCGTGGTCTTAGGTTAAGCATAGAAACAAGGAAACAAGGAAATGAATAATTACACTGTGATAAATGCTATAAAGCAGAAACAGCAAGAAAAAATTAAGCACTCTCTGGCACCAACCAGGATCTTACTGTTCTTTGAACAAAGTAGTTGTTTGTCCACTGGTCTCTTTAGTGGGCCAGGCTCTGTCTTTCTGTTCCGGAAAGCGACCATGACTTTGCCACATCCTGTACCATGCTTCAACCAATACGTCCAGTAAGTAGGAGAGAACATCCGTCTGGACCGTGAAGCAGCATGGAAGGTGTGTTCACCACATACCAATCAAGCAGTGGCTGGTGGGGTTTCTATGTGCAGAGTCCATGACTAAATCCGCTTAAAGTAGCAGGGTCACCTCAATGTCGTGGGTTTCAGAAATGTCCTCTTTCAACCCTCCCCTTCTCTCTTCTGAGATGTGGGATTACTCAGGCTTTCTTTCTCTTTGTTCTCATGTACTCCGAGAGAAATTTCTTGGAATTCCGAGGTTGTTTCATATTTCAAAATGTATCTGCTCGTGATGCAATCTGGTGACATGATAGAGGTGTTGGCAGAGCCTGTGCTATGGGGGGGGGGGGGGATCATGCTGCAATATATACACGGCTCAGATCAGCAGGTGGCATGCCTTAGACTTGCACTACACCGTGTTCTGTGTCTTGATGAAAAAGTTTTGGAATACAGTGATGATATTCAGTCATTCATTTAAAAAATGAAAACTGGCCTCGAAGATGGGAAGAACAAGATGTGAACGTGTCCCCAAGAGAAGGCTTCTCCTGGGGGCAGAGAGAAGCGGGGAGAAAGACAAATAAGCATCTGAGACACCCCAGGAGGAAGCTTCTGCCTGGCTGTGGGTGGAGGGGAGCAGAGAAGACCCCCCGCTGTCTCAGCAAGGACACCAGGGCTGCAGTCCTAGGTAGGTGGCCGGACAGCCACTCTAGCCAGAGAACCTGTTGCGGGGGGAGTGGGGTGCTCCGGAGCTCCCAGAGCCACAGGTGCCCCCTGACTCGTGCACCGAGAGGTGGAGGTATGAGGGAGCCCGAGATGAGGCCCGTGGGTGACTCGCTACCCTGGTGGCACCTGTGCAGGGCGTCCAAGGCCTGCGCACATGTGTGTCCTGACGCTCATCCAGACGCAGGAGAGGAGAGTGTGTGTCCCGGAGGCATCCGGGTCAGGAAGGTGTTCTGCCCAAGGTCACATGTATGTGAGCTTGGAGCGAGATGAAGGCACGGACCAGCGCAGGAAAAGCTTCACACAAACAGAGGTTCCTGGGGCGCTTGGGTGGCTCTGTCGGTTAAGCGTCCAGCTCAGGTCGTGATCTCATGGTTCATCAGTTCAAGTCCCACATCCCTGCGGGCTCTCTGCTGTCAGCACGGAGCTGGTTTCAGATCCTCTGTCCCCTCTCTCTCTCTCTGCCCCTGCCCCCCTCCTCTCTAAATAAATAAATAAATAAGTGAAAACATTAAAAAAATTTTTAAAAATCGGCATACATGTGAGCATGTTGACATTTAAACTATTATTCTTTTGGGTAGGTTTCTCAGACGAGCGCCCCATAAACAACAGAAATAATAAACAGCAAGGAGTCTTTGTTCAACCGCTAAATAATATTTTGTTCCGTAACCCATGTTCCCCGCGAATATAGAGTGACAGCAGTCCAAAGATGACGATTTTCCTGCTGGACTCCCATTGCCTCTATCCCCGCGCCGCCCTTACCCCTTCCCTCCATTGCTATAGAATATTCTTATTTCATCCAGAGGGTCACTCTCACTTAAGCCCTCAAACCAGCCTTGCTGACTGCTGGGGGGTGGCAGTCCCTGGCTCCCCCTCCTGTCCTCCAGCTCAGACGAGATCTTTCACTGTCATGATGTCCCAAAGGGTGGCTGGGGCCCCATGCCTGTCACTGCCCCACAGGAAGCTGGCACTTCCATCTGCTGGTGAGGACTTCCCCTCAGGGTACTGTGGCTGAGACATCTACACTGAAGTCACCTTCCCTGAAGCTCCCATCTTGCCCCCTCTGTGCATGTCTGTTGATGCTTTTTTTTTTTTTTTAATAACAAATGCACTTTTAATTGGTCTACAGATAAAAACTACTCAGTAGCCCATCAGTAGCCATTTTGGCCCCTACTGTTAGATCGTCTTCAGGATCTAGGTTCACAGGCTGTTTTCATTATTTCATATCATCCCCGGTATTAGAATGCTTTGCTCTATGCAGGGTAGGAAGACCCCAGAATCACTGATGTTGAATTTCCCACCAGCTGGGGACTGTGGTCACCAAGTCCAAACTAGGTTGACTTTTGCAGTAAAGACATACAAATTTTCATGCACACTTAAATCTGTGAACTTAAATCTGTGAGATGTTCATTCGTGAGACTGTCTGCTGCCCTGTTGTGCAGGCGTGTGCTTGCTCTCTCTCTCTCTCTCTCTCTCTCTTCCATCAAAGATAGGCACTGTATTTTTCATCTTCCCAACACATAGTATCATTCCATTTATGCTTGAACTTTCTCGGAAGAAGCACACTTAACCAGATAGCTCAAAATAAAATTAAGCAGTGGTTTACCAAGACTGTCTACGTTATTATGAAGTCTGTTCGTAATCAGTCAGTATTCACTGAAGATGTTTCAGATAGACCTTTAAAAATAAATTCAGGAGAGCATATGTCTGTGCATGTATTTTCTCCTTAAATGAAATATTCTGAGTCTCTGAGTGCTTCCATAGGAATGGAAAACTGAAAAATATTCCTGTCCTATGTCTTCTTGAGATTCACAGATTGATAGGAAGCCTCAAAGCCAAAGATTTAACCCTGGTTTTGGAATAACTTCTTAGCCTCATTTTCTGTTTTTACAAGATAATGATTATAGTTTTTTGAGACTCAGGATTCTGATGGGTTGATTTGAGAGCTTGACGATGGCTTTAGTGGGTGCTTCTAGTGGGTTTGCTGTCTTGCCCTGGATATGCGGACTGGCAGTGGGGACCTCACCATAGTGCACCAGGGACATTAGCACACATTTCAGGTCTGCGTCCTGATACATGGCGTTGGCCATGCTGTGGCTCTCACTGGCTGAGAGGACTCTTCTCTGTTCTCTTCTCAGCCAGTCTGGGGAGATGCCTGGTTCAGAGGCAGTACTTAGAGCCAAGCTTGTAAGTAAGTGAGCACAAAGACGCAATGACTAGAAAACTTAGGGTGGGGAAGAGACCAGGCCAGAAACAGATGTTCCATGGTATAGGAGGGAAGAATTCAGGACTTCAAGACAGAGAAGGGCATCCCAAAGAGCACGCTTTAGAGAGAAAGAGGAAAGTGATACTCCAGATAGAGGAGGAAGAGAGACAGAGAAAGACGTACTTCCGGGGCAGGAAGGATGCTTCCGGGGCAGGGAGGAGAGGAGGCAACCTTTGCTGCTGCCGTTGGTGTGGTGTCTGCCCTGTGGGGTGGCCAGGTCAGCACCTCTTTCTGACACTAGGAATCCAAGATAGTCTCCTGAGGACTCTGCACACCTGATGTTTTCTGTGGGACGGAGCAAAGCTGGCTCCTGGGGGCTCCAGTTGGCTGGACTGTGCTCTGGGCGTCTGGACTTAGACCTGGGAGAGGCTGAGGTAGCTGAGTGGGTCTCCTGCCTGGCTGCAGGGTAGCTGAGAGCTGTGGCAAATGCGGGCTCCTGCCCCACACCCTGCACCTGCGATTGAAGGGGCCTGGGGTGGGATTCAGGTGTCAGTATTAAAAAAAAAAAACAACATTTCTGGGGCACCTGGGTTGCTCAGTCAGTTGAGTGTCTGACTTCGGCTCAGGTCATGATCTCACAGTTCACAGGTTTGAGCCCCGTGTTAGGCTCTGTGCTGACAGCTCAGAGCCTGGAGCCTGTTTCGGTTTCTGTGTTTTCCTCTCTCTGACCCTCCCCAGTTCATGCTGTCTCTATCTCCCTCTCAAAAATAAATAAAACATTTTAAAAAGTTTTTAAATGAATAAACGTTAAAAAATTGAAGAAAAACATTTTTAACGGTTTATTTATTTTTGAGAGAGAGAGATGAGTAGAAGCAGGGAAGGGACACAGAGAGTGAGACTCAGAATCCATGAAGCAGGCTCCAGGCTCTGAGCTGTCAGCACAGAGCCTGACATGAGGCTCGAACCTGTGAACCATAAGACCACGACCTGAGCCGAAGTCGGACTGTAAGGGACTGAGCCACCCAGGCGCCCCTGTCAGCACTTGTGAAAGCTCTGTGAGCAGCTGCGTGGAGAAGCCTGGCGACTCAGCTGACCTGACCTCCCTGTCCCTCCTTCCCTGTCGCCCCCCCCCCCCCCCGACTATGGCACCATTAAGAAGGTGCGGGCGCCCCTGGGCCCGGATGGCCACAGCTGTCTGCTGGAGGAGATCGAGCTCTTCCCCGAGCGGCGCGGGGAGCCCATCCGGAGCCTGCAGCTCGTCCACAGCCGGAGCATCCTGTTCGTGGGCCTGCACGGGCACGTGGCCAGGATCCCGCTCAAGAGGTGCGGGAGCCACCGCACCCGCAGGTAGGCCGCCCCGCAGATCCCGGCCCCTCATGTCCTCCTGGGCCCCACGTCACCCCAGGGCACAGCGCTCCCACACAGCCCGAGCTGAGAACCACCCACTGGTGGCTGCGACGGGGAGCCAACTTAGGACATCAGTAAACATCCATCAGGGGGAGAAGCAATTATTCGGTGCACGAGCACAGTCAGGGGTCATGCAGATATTCGGGGTTCCCTCATCGGTCTGGAGCAAGTTTACTATTATTGGTATATATGCAATGTATGTACAGAGCTGGCAGAGAATGGTAGGAAGTGGGTTGTATCTGCCCGGAGCTAATTCCCTGAGAAGGAACGAAGCGACACCCCTCCCTGGGGGCAGTTCTCACCCTGGTGGCTCTCTCCTGAGGCCCTAGGACCCCACAGGCTGAGAGAGGGAAGAAGGAAGTCCTGCAGGTGAGGTGCAGGGCACCTCAAGTGGAATCGCATCTGTCCTTGATCCTGCTCAACTCTCATTGGTCATGGGGTGCCCACTACGGGCCACATTGGCCTTTGAGGCTCAGTTTGGAAAAGTGCTCAAGAAACCCTAAAGTACTGTGCACACTAAATGCTCGACCAGCACCTTCATGTTGGTCCCCAACCAAAGATAGCCCTTGGGGAAATCATCATCTCAAACATTCTGGGATCAGTGATCTCAGTAACTCCGACCCCTAGTGTAGTGTGTAATGGAGGACTTGCCATAGAAATGGACTGTTTGGGTCCATCACTCATAGATACTACACACAAGTCATTCTTTCCCAAACAGGGTGCCCCATGGCATGTGCTTTGGAACTCAGAGACTGGGAGTCCCATAACAGGCTGCATGTGCTATTTCTTGACCTGGTCGCTAAAGTATTTTAGGTCTCACTTTCTCATTTAACACAGGCAAATTGCTATAGATTTAAGCGGTATCCTGTATATCATTTTAAATTCAATGCACTTTACAAAACGGATAAAGATGTGGTAAAAGCATTACAATGGAATAGTACTCGGTGATCAAAAAGAACGAAATCTTGCATTTGGAACAAATTTGAGGGTATTATGCTAAGTGAAATAAGTCAGTCAGAGAAAGGCAAATACCGTATGAATTCACTCATGTGGAATTTGAGAAACAAAACATGAACATAGATGAAGGGACAGAAGGATAAGATAAAAACAGAAGGAGACAAACCGTAAGAGACTCTTAAACACCGAGAACAAACTGAGGATTGTGGAGGGGAGGTGGGTGGGAAGATGAGCTACATGGGCGATGGGCGTTAAGGAGGGCACTTGTTGGCATGAGCACTGGGTGTCGTATGTAAGTGATGAGTCACTAAATTCTGTTCCTGAAACCGTTGCTACACTCTATGTTAACTAGCTTGGATTTAAATGTAAACAAACAAACAAAGTAGGCATCCCCTTGTAGAAAGAGTTTTTATGTATAATAAAAATCACTACAAGATTCCTTTCTAGATGATTCCAGACAACGAAGTGTGTTATATGGTGCCTCCTTTGGTATCAGAGAGTTGAGGAATAACATAAAGGGCTTTCTACCTAACACTGATGATGCTATTGTGAGCAGTGATAACAAATAGTGATATTTATTAGCAACTATCTTTCTGTAACACGTTTTTCCTAATGTTAACCAATGGCTGCTTGAAATTTGTTCTGATTTGTGCTTCCTGCAAGACTAACCTAGCGCAGGAATGCCTCTGCCCAGTTTCCGATGGTCAAAGGGTGACCGGCTGGGTTGGCGGCTTGCCAACAGACATGCCACAAGTTGGGAAGCCCCTGGAAGGGTCCCAGTCTTCCAACTGCAGCCCTGCAAGCTTTGAGCTCTAACGGACTTCTGTGGGCATGACATGCAGGAAGACACAGGCCTGTGCTGACTGTAGGGTGTTTGGGGGACCAGAATGAGAGGTCCTGGCTTGCAAAGCGGGAGGCGGTTCATCCTTTCTATGGTGCTTTGCCTCGTTGAGTGGGGATCACAAGAGCCCAGCTCCGGTTACGTGCGACAGCAGAAGCTAAGTTTTGCATCGAGTCAGGGAAGCGAGGCATCCCCATGCCCACCTCGTCTCCTGCATGGCTGCACGTGGAGCCCGGTCAGGAGGCCACAGGAGCCGCCAGGCACAGCAGCCCCGGGGGTGTTCCCAGTTCTTTCGACAAGGCCACTTGTCTGTCTTCATCACGTTCCTGGGAGGAGAAGATTATACTGTTATGTCCAGAGCAGAGCCTTCCTGCTGTTTACTTGTCTAACCCTCTCAGAGAAGAGCCACGAGAGATTAGAGCTTTACTGTAAACTGATTGACAGTGGTCTTCTGTGTCCCCCACACTCAGAATGGGTTAGACTGTGATTGACCCTTAAGTATTTGAGAAAAGAAACTCTGAAGACTCAAACCCAAGCATTTCTATTGATTCTTTCCAATGTTTTCCAATTCTTTGCCATGCTTTTCCTACAGAAGGACAAGAAAACCTCCCTTGCTGACACTAACTGCAGAAAAGCATCCATTTTTAAGACACTAATATCCACATGACTAGGGCTTTTTTTTTTTTTTTTGATGAATTATGGAGAAAGGGTTTTTTTTTGACAAAGCAATTTTAATTTTCTAGACATATGCCTAAAGCAGTACATTGAATAGGAACAGGAGACCAATGGAGTAACGATGGAGTGGTGATTTCTTTGTTAAATATATTTTCCATAGTAGAATATAAGTAATTTCATTTGTTATTAGAAAGATCAATTTCATAAATGAGTTTTATAGTGTTTGGCAAGAGAAACTGAGCTTAACTAAATTACTTGTCTCCCTCCAAATCATATTCACATTTAAATTTTTTTCTAATATCTATTTTTCAAAGGCAATGCACAGTTTGAATTCTGCTAAAACGTTTGTAATTGATATTGATATACTTCCACAAGTTTCCTTTCCGTGCCTGGCACTTTCCTGGATCTTCTTATCATTCTTCTTAACCATTATACCCTGAGGGTCAAGTCACCCATCATCTCCATTTTTCAGTGGAGGAAATGGTTGGCTCAGAGTTTTGGATCCTACCCAAGGTTGCATACCTTGTGTGATAATAAACCCAGGTTCAGGGCTGGGGCTCTGCCTCCATGGCTCAGGCTTCCTGTTTGATTCACTGTGCTGGCCCTGGGACAATGGGGACATCAGATCAGGGCTCAGATTTGGGGGGGAATCAGTTAAGCCATGACACTGACCACGTGTGTCCCTGATCACCAGAGCTAATGAGAAGGCCATGAGTTCAAACATGTCCACTGATGACTGTTTAGCCCTGGCCCCTTCCAATTATTTCTTCTTTATTATACTTGTTTGTTACCAGGCTACTCCCAAACATACCAGAAAGCGCTTTGACACCCTCTTGGTTATTCTACAGTGAATTTCCACCTCCAGTTCTCGAGGTGGTCCCAGAGCCTCAGGAGAGGCTGAAAAAAGTGCTTGCCTGTGTGTTCTTTTTTTTTTTTTTAATTTTTTTAAATATTTACTTATTTCTGAGAAAGAGACAGAGCGTGCGCAGGGGAGGGCCAAGAGAGAGACACACACACAGAATCCAAAGCAGGCTCCAGGCTCTGAGCTGTCAGTACAGAGCCCGACGCGGGACTTGAACTCAAGAACCATGAGATCATGACCTGAGGTGAAGTCTGACGCCCAATCGACCAAGCCCCCCAGGTGCTCCATTTGCCCGTGTGTTCCAAGCTGTGCATGCATTGTGTTTTCAATGAGATGTAACTGTTTTCCTCAGAAGATTATTTTGGAAGAACAATATTTTAAAAATACATTTTAGTCAAGTTCGACCTCAAAAAAAATGACTAGGAAGATTTTGTTTAATTTAAAATTTTTTTTTCATAACTATTTAGTGAATAGCATGGAGAAATTATGTGAATGACAAAGCCAGCTTATCACAAAGTGTGGTTCCCTCTGGGCATGTGAAGTGCAAAAGAAGTTTTTCCTTTTCTTGTACATCCATTTGTACTCCAGGGCTTATTTACCATATATGTGTATGCGTTTCCTAAAGTGAATTACCATTGACTGAATTTTGACAAATGTGGGGATCTTAACAGGCCCCGATGAGGGTACTGCATGTGACAGCAGAAGGTAGGTAAGCCGATGCCATCCCATTGGCCACATCATATGCACCTGGCACAAGGTCAAGTCTCCCCAAAGCAGCATGAGGTTTTTCAAGTCTGGAAAGGTCTCCATAGGGATGCAAAGGACGGAACAGCCAAAACCTGAGTGAGCTTAATCCCTGCCTGATGTATGAGCGTAAAGTCATAAACTCTCACTTGAAGGAGAACAGACTGTGGCGGACAGCTGAGGGGGTCTTCATCTCAGCACTTCAGGAAGGAACGAGTGATCACAGGACCCGGGCTGTTAGCCTTCTTCGGGAAATACCATGGCCTTCCAAGTGGCCCAAGTGATTGACAGTCTTCAGCCTCAGGAAAGGCGAGTCGTGATGGGTCTTTGATTCAGACTTTAAAGTCACTTTAAAGATTGTGCTGTAATTAGATCAGCGGGTCAGCAAACTGTCTCTATCAAGAACCAGATGGAAGACGCTTTAGTCTGCACAGGCTGCATGATCTCTGTTGCAGCTACTCAGCTCTGCCCTCCGAGCATGGAAGTAGCCACAGACCACAGTGAATGAACGTGGCTGTGTGTCAGCAAGGCAAGCAGATTCATCAGGCAGAGGAAGGATCCTCTTTTTGGTGGCATTTATTACAAGGAAATAATAGCAGAAAAGGTGTTAGCTGCTACCCATGCCACTTGTTCCACAGGATGCTGCCAAAACAAAGGGACCAGATCACCATGCAACACAGAACGAGGGCACCATGTTGCCAAGCAGCCAGCTGTACTGCAGCTTAGCAGTTTCAGAACCTGTATCTGTACCTTAGTGGGGGTGAGGGTGGGGGGCAGATGGCCTTCAGCCTTACTAGAACCTGGGAGACAATGAGAAACAGTCTCATGACAGCCTCCCTGACACAGGGCGAATGAGAGGCA